GTTTATTTGATGATTTTATTTTTGGTCACATGCTATATTGGTTTTTTAATTATATTTCAAGGAAATATATAAATATCTTTTTTGCTATATTTTCGAAAAACATTTTCAATATGAAGATTTTGAAAATAAGAGATTGTATGTGATACAAAATATTTATTCGATTGATTTTTGAAAAAAAAATAATTATTGATTGTTTAAAGATTTTTTTTATTTAAACATTTTAATTATTTATTTAAGACTTTGTCATTTTAAAAATTTTTAAAGATAATATCAATTTTGTTGAATATTTCTCCATATTTTATGCTATTGTAAAATATATAACATATTTATTTTTCTTTTATTTTTCCTAAAACATCAATATAAAACAAAAAAATATATATGATGATTTTTGTAACGCAAAATAAATATATATCATATCATAAGAGTTATACAAAATACAAATAACATAAACACTTGAATAAAATCATTAAACCAAATAAAAAATACTATAGATTAGATTTTATTAAATATTAAATTATTGTTTAAAAATATCTAAAAATGTTAAATATGTTATATACATGGAGATTTTCGAATTTAATTTTCCACTTTTTTGGCAACAAAATTAGTATGATCCATAAATATAGATAGTTTCTGTTTTTTATTATTTATTTATTTATTAAAACATTTTTGCTGTCATTAGTTTTGTTTGGCAACTGAAATATATTTCATGAAATTTTTTTTTTTTAAATTGGGTCTGTTTGGCTTCAAGTTGTCCTTCCCAATTAATAGTATAGATGATTAACTGACATTTTCTTGATTTGGAGTATAAAATTACAAAAATTAGAGACTAAAAAGGATTTATCTGACAGTTACCAAAATCCAATAATTCGATGCAACTTGCCGTTACTCACACTATAAATAAATTAAGTAGCATTAACGCCTCGTGCTTCCCTCGTGGGTATTATTTTTGCATATATAGGTAAAGATGCATACGTAAAAAAAAATTTTGTTTTTGTTCAAAACATATGTAAAAAATATTATGATTTATAGAGGATAAAAAGGCACAACTGTGTTTTCTTTCAGAAAAAAAAAGAGAGTAATAACAAATCTGAAATTTCTCTCCTTCAAAGTTCTTAGGGAAAGAAAAGAACATTTTTTGGCATCGGGTTCATTACATTTTATCTTGAAATGGAACAGACAAACCTACCGGTCAATGCAAGCTGGTTCGGATTGAAGGACGGAGAGAGTGATATTATAGATGCAGACTTATTGGTGAATCTTCTTGAGACTTATAGGTTTGGTAAACATAATGTTCCAGCCGGAGAATTTCGATTTAAGTTGGCAGCGACGGCGCAGGTCAACACCACCGAGATAGAGGTGGTAGTTGAAGATGACGACGATGGATCTCAAGGTACTACAACTATTACTATAGTCAACTTGTCATTTTCAGACATGTTTTTTTTTGTTTGGTCTTTAAACTACCCAAATTATTTAACCGGACAGAAACCTGCTTAGCCGGTAGATCAATCTCTCATTTATATTGTCTTTTGGTATGAATTGCTCTCCTTGGCAGGAAACAAGTCTGTTCCTGAAAGCACATCATCGGTAGTTTCCAATTCAGATCCTATAATACACGAGACTACTATAAGCGAAACCGGTTCGAACGAAGAAATAGGCTCAAACGAAGAATCCGGTTCAAATGAAGAATCAGGTTCAAACGAAGAAAACGGTTTATATTGGTTAGAGTCGAACTTCAGGAACTTAGCGAATCTAGAGGAAGAAAGGCAACAGATCAGAGAAGATCGTGAGATAAGAGGACAAGAGGAAGAAGAAGAAGAAGAAAAGAGCGAGAGATCATCATCGGATTCAGAAGAAAAGTCAAACCTAAAGAAGTTGCTTGCGACACAAGACAACTATGAGCTCTACTGTCCAAGTTGTAGCTCATGTATCACTAGAAAAGTGATTCTCAAGAAAAGGAAACGTGGGAAGCAAGTTGATTTGTCTACGGATCTAAAACCCAATGTACTCGTTGATGAACCAAGCGACATTGAAGAGATGGAGCCACCGGCTAAGGTTCATGTCCTCCCTGAGACTAGTATTGAGGATGATGTTGAAGAAGATAAAGAGGAGGGAATTATCTTCACTTGCTTGGCTTGTCTCAAGTACTTCATCCGGTTAGGTGAATCAAACCTTTTCTAAACCGATTCTAGATCAATTCTCTCGGTTTGCTTGGTTTCTATAAATTTGATGACCCTTGTTTTTTCAATCCAATTTTCAGGAACAAGGTTCTTACAGTTTGATTATTTCAGGGCAAAACCTGTTGAGGAACCAGGTATGTTATCATGAATTGAAACAAAATTATTAATAAATTAAGTATGTCATAATACTGTTTGAATGAAAATAACATTGAGCTTAATTAAAAATGTGTATAGGCTTAGTTTTGCTATATGGCTATTTTATTGGTACAACTATACTTATCTGCAATTTATATGCAGTTGAAGTAAATTTAGAGATGACGAATAGTGTTAACACCAAACAATCACTGCCACAAATTCAGCCGGACGGAGAAAGATTCGCCGTTGAGTTGCTGAAGAGCACCGTCTACGGCGGTCTCACCGAGACCGTCACCAGCCTCGGCGTTGTATCCTCCGCAGCTGCCTCTGGTTCATCGACCGGTAAAGTCACCATTACTTCGTTTTCTTTTTAGTCTATCAAAGAAATGTAACTAATCATAATACTGATTATTATAACAAACAATAACACTATGTAATGATTTAAAGTTGTATTGTTTCAGTGAATATATTGGCTCTTGCTGTCGCAAATTTGGCTGGTGGGCTCATCGTCCTAGCTCAAAACGTAATTAAAACAACTTTGTAAACGTTTTCTTGTGCAAGACATTGCTTCTTTGGTTTCTTGATTTTTCGATTTTTTTTTTTGTTTTCTTGTAGCTTCAAGATTTAAGAAACAGTTCAGATCAAGGGAAAGATCTGTACAAGGAACTGTTAGGGAGACGTGCTAATTTCCATATGCATATCTTAGTAGCGGTCATGTCTTACATTTTCTTCGGCCTAATGCCTCCATTAGTATATGCTTTCTCCTTCTACGAAACCGGAATCAAGAACTACAAGCTCATCTCGGTTTTCTCGGTTTCTCTGGTTTGCGTGATTTTGTTCGGTTTGATCAAGGTCTATGTCCGAAAACCGCCACACTCAAAAGCTTATATCAAATCTGCGGCTTACTATACGTCTATTGTTGTTGCATCTTCTGGTATTTCATACATTGTCGGAGATGTTATGGGAGAGTATATCGGGAAGCTTAGTTGGGTTGGGTTAGACCAGGTCAATATAATAACTTCATCATTTGATGGAATTAAACCGGAGGAGTTCCGGTTTACTTCCTAGGTGGGACTAAAAACCGGTTTCTTTCTGTTCTAATCACTTACTTAAATCTCTTTTCCTTTCTTTTTTTTGGTGTATATGCAAAGTGGGTTTTGTAAAGAGTTAAACAAAAGTTAAAACTTTTTTGGAATAATTGGGTTTTATCTCTTTGAGTTTAGTTGAGTGTGTGTATTACTAGTATGTGTAACAAAAATGTCAACTTTTAAATACTTGTTGCTAACCAACTAAGTTACTTGAACCTTTTTGGTTCCAATTTTTGTTTTGTTCGTGATATTTTGATTCCAATTCACTCAGAGAGTCCACACATTACATCAATCATGTCAGTACTCAGTATAATTAACACGATTATACTCCCAATGTTTACTCAAAACAAATAGTATCAAATTGAATGCTAAAGATGTAAATGTAAATGTAAATTCAATGTTTTGGGTAATTTGATGTGACGACGAATAAAAAAAAAAGCAAAGAAGAAAAAGCATTTTTTGCTGACGTGATAAAAGGAACTACGTGTGCCCGAAGCTTTCACACTCCATTACTCTCTCTCTCTCACACAGTCTCTTCTTCTCTGCTCTTTTCTTCTTCCCTCATTTAACGTTTCTCCTCTGTTGTTTCTCCCAACCAAAAACACCTTTTTTTTTGTTCTTCTTCTTCTTCCGGGTTTTACAAACAGAGGGAGTCACTCTAATTCTCTAAAGGTAAGATTTTTATCATCATCCTCAAGTCACTTCCATTGTTTCTTCTCAAAAAAGTTGATTTTTTTTTTTCCCTTGTTTCATTTTTCCTTATTTCTCCGCTTGACTTGAGAGAAATGTGTTCTGATTCTTCTTATCTGGAATAAAAATCTCAACTTTTCTCGTTTATGTGAAAAAATGTGAACTTTTTTTTGTTTTTTTGGTAATCCAAGCACTTCATTTTATCAGCTCTATCTACACATGGCATAATAGGGTTTTAACATTTGGTTAAATTCCTCTTATTCGTTCTGATCTACGCTTGTCTTCTTCTTTCTCCTGTCAGATTTCTGTTTCCTGGGTTTTGTCGGAGACGAATCAAGTCGGCGAACCTACGGTACTCTCTCTCCCTCTCTCTCGCTTTAGCTCTCTGTGTGTTGTTCTGAGTTTAACTTTTCTCAAAATCGAAGTTTGATCGGGATTGACAACGAAACCCTAAGAATTGGTTTGTCATAGGTTGGAATAAAGTCTCTGTTTTGCAAATACCCAATTTTTATTTGTTTCCCTGTCTTCTTCCATATCCTTACAGTGTATGTAAATGCGAGTTACCTACATAACATGCTGTCTTTTTCTTCTTCCTTTTCGAGACTCTCTTACTTAATTAGCTGCTTTCTTAACCAGGTTTTTTTTTCCAATTGCGTTTGCTTCACGATTTGGCCTGTTACATTTTCATATTATGTGCATAATTCTGTGTACATGCGTTTATGTTTAGTAGAAGTGTAGAACAAGTATTAGATTGATATGATTCACAACTGAAGTCAGTGAATACCTTCCACATTTCTCTTGGTTTTTCAACCGTTTAGGTAAGGAAGAAAGCGTTTGTACACTTCTGATGCAGCTGTCTGTCTTGTAGTTCTTGTAGGTTCTTTACAGTAAGTCGTTCAATAATGATCTAAAAACCATTCTTTAGCCATTTTCATACAATACCATTTGATTGCTGTGTGGCTGATTCCATTAGTGTTCTTAGGAATCAATGATTTCCATGTTTAGCTTCCACTGTAGTCCTGATAGTGTCTAAACTGGAATTCAAAGATATTAATTTCCATGTTGTTTCTGTCTTCTTATTTCAGATGAGTAGCAGGCGAACAGTGAAGAGATCATTGATTCTGGATGACGATGAAGATGAAGATATATTTTACAGCTTCAAGGTCCTTCTACCTAACGGCACTAGTGTGAAACTCACACTTACTAACCCAGACCCTGAGATGGCAATGCAAAATTTTGTCAACCTGGTGAAGAAGGAGTACGATAATGCACGAAAAGATTGTGTTTTGTTGTCTAAGAGGACGAGGGTTGATTGGAACTCGGGCGGAAAATTTTATCTTGAGTCAAATGGTGAAAAGATGAAAGGCATTGTTCGCTTTGCTGCATTTAAGCCTAACTTGTGTCATATAATACGCCTTGATGTGAGTTTTTTCTCTATTTGTTCCAGTCTTTGACAATCATTTTATTTCTATATTTATCCTCTCTATTTGTTCATGACATCTCTGTTCCATGAGAATGACCTGATGAAAGTGAGATATGTGCCTGAACTATTTCTATCTTCTTATTTCTGCCTCAATTCCTACCTCTGCATCAGGACGGTTCTGGTGTAGCTTCCAGCATGTATGAGGTCAGTATTATTATTCTGAAACATATATGCTTGCTAGACTCATTGTTTCCTAAGCCGGGTCTGTAATGGTTCACACTTGTTTGTGCAGAACTTGTGGGATTTGACACCTGATACTGATCTTCTTAAAGAATTACCTGAAAATTATAGCTTTGAGACAGCTCTCGCTGATCTAATAGTAAGTGTTTCAGTTAAGCTACCTCAAATATTATTTTTTCTCGTCCGTAATGGATTTTTTTTTGTGTGTGTTTGTGTTGGAAAGTGGATACTGTGTTGTTGTAAACCAACCAATGCACAATACTTTATGTATTTGATTTTGACTTTCATTTTCTGAAAGTTATACATGAAAATTTACCACATGAAAATTTTCATCTAGGATTGTTTTTGTGGATGTGGTCTTGCTCTCTGGATAGTTCCCAAGGAAATAAAAAAAGAATTATTGACTTCACTTTGTGTTTGCAACCAACAACTATGGTTATCTAGGGATTCACATTGTGTTTCCCTTTAATCACTACAATTTTTTGCTAATAGATAAACTTATCTTCAATATATCACATGATTCTAACATTATTTCTCTGGATCTGTTGATGAGATTGGGGGTTGCATCTATAAATTTCTCGTTTGTTCCAGATAAGGAATCCTAATATTTCTGTTGCTTGATTCACAGGACAATTCCTTACAAGCTGTGTGGCCATCTCGTGAAGGAGCTCGAAAACTTATTAGGTTTGCTCTTATCTTAGGAGTGTTAGACGACATAAAAATTGAGTGTAATCCTTCAATTCATTTGACTATTTTGTAGTGTGGATATTTCTGGTGACCGGATTACAGTCTTTGATACTGGGAGAGGAATGGACAGTAGTGAGGAAAATTCTATTGATAAATGGTGAGATTGTTTCTTTAATTTCATTCAAATGCTCAGAAACTATGGACCATGATTATGAACTGAGAAAATTGTTCTATAGAACAAATTACTTTCACATATTTTACGTATTGAGATTGATATTGTAATTAAGTGTTCTTTGCTCAAATTGATACAACAGGTTTGATTTTTGTTTTTTTTTTGTTGAACATTCTTCACATTTGTTTCAAATTGTGCAGGGGTAAAATCGGGGCGTCGTTACATAGATCTCAAAAAACCGGTGCTATTGGAGGGAAACCACCATACCTGAAGGTAATTTATTAGTAGTAAAGAGCTTAGGTTCATTTTCTACTTGAAGTTTATAACTTTTGTGTTTAAAATATTATATGGATAATTAAGTACCTTTAAAATATGGACGACTCCATAGGCATGTATCACTTTGGACTGTTCTTTTAGTTTCACTACTTGTTATTTCACTAATTTTGAAGTCTTTTCTATGTAGCCATACTTTGGGATGTTTGGATATGGAGGCCCTTATGCTTCTATGTTCTTGGGAAGGTGCGTTTCAGTTTCTGTGTACCCATAAATATTGAGGTCAACCTATGATTGTCTGCATTGTCTTGTTGTGTCGAACTCTCTTCTCTGTCAGGCGTACTTTGGTGTCGTCTAAGACAAAAGAGTCGAAGAAAGTATTCACTTTGCAATTCAAGAAAGAAGCCTTGATTGACAATCGGTCTATCTCGGGGAAAAACTGGAAGGTAATATGATTCATCATTTGAAAGTTTAGCTCATTTAATTTTCTTGTAGTCATCATTGTTTCATAAACAATAATATTGAATTTCATGTATAGACTGATGGTGGCATGAGGGACCCGTTAGAGGAGGAAATTGAGTTATCACCACATGGAAGCTTTACAAAGGTACACCCTTTTTCAAAATTTTCTGCCATAGTTCCCATATGACGTGAAACAGAAGCTTATTTACTATCAAAGATGCAAAAACAAATGTAACTGAAAAATATTTTCCACGCAAAAATTCCTACACATCAATCCTTGGCCCTCAGATTCTGGCTGTTTAAATTGGATAATAATCTTTCTTTGGGAAAACTTTCTTATTTCTAAACTAGTTTGAAATTTTGGATTCTATCGCTTTATTTTGTTAGTTTGTTTACTCATATTCTTCCGTGATACTCATCTTTTATTATAATTTTCACCAGTTATCAACAATTTTCATCTTCAGTTATGATTTTCACTGACAGTTTGATCTTCGTACTTTCAAATTTATTCTCAGACAACTGAGCTATGATATGCCATTGACTGCGTATCTGACACTGCTGGTCTATTTTCTTTCTAGGTTGAGATATTTGAATCCGAATTTGACATCTCAAAAATATATCAACTCCAGTGCAGGCTTAAGGATATTTACTTTCCTTACATCCAGGTATTCTTAGGCTATTGATTGTCCATGATTATTGTTCGGAGTTTTGTTGGTGACTTTAACAGTTCATAAAGCATGCAAACCTTCAACTTAGTACATTATTGTCTACGTTGGTCCAGTGCTAAAACTGTGCTATAAAAATTCATGGATTTCTGATAGCTAATATATGTTTTCTAATACTTCTGACTTTCAACCATTTTCTCTGTGAGTCTTTTATTTCTGTTCTGATAAAATGTGACTGTTTTGATTTGCTTTATCAACCTGTAGTGTGATGAACTCTCTAAAACTGGGAGAACTGAAACGCCTGTAGAGTTTCAGGTTTGTTAATCATCATTGGCTAATCAGTTTTGTTTCTTACTAAGATTATCATTTGTAGATGAATTATGTTTCAGGTCTTTATTTACTCTTCCAAGATAAATGACTTTAGGTGCTCTTGCTTATACTTTTTTCCTGGTCCACTTTTACCTTTTTCAGGTCAATGGGGAAGATTTAGCTGAGATAACAGGTGGAGAGGT